CGCGACACAGGGTTTCCCTAGTGCGGGGCTATGTTGAGTGTGTGTGTGCGTTATTATTATTATTATTTACAATAGATTTACATATAGTTTTCCATTTCTCTTCCCGCTCACACTATGCTCGACGGTTTACACATAAAATATTAGTAACGTAAGGCGCAACTAAACATCTTTTTTTAATATTTTTTAATGTAAGGGACATGCTACATTTTACACCACTGCACATTCCTAAATTTTAATAATACCAATCGATAGAGAGGGAACTTCTGAATCCAATGATTTGATAAACTCATTTTCGATAAAATGTGCTTATGTTAATTGATACTTCTGGTATCGAAGTGTGCGTGTCAATAGGATGACATTGTCTAATTTATAAATTAACGCTAATATGGGTAGATGGTACTAATCCTAAACAAAATAAAAGAATAGGCGGCACTATTCATAAAAATCTGTGCAATAAACACCATCTGGTTGATTTGTTTGTTATCACAAGAAATTAGAGTAGCTTTGATAAACTGCAGCTTGTCAAATGTAAAACATTTGGTACTCGTCGCGACATCTGGTGTACCAAATAGGTACTAAATACCCGACTACGCTGTCTTGCGATTAGGAATCTTCTTGAGTGATTGGTCCATATCACATCGTAATTTCTATTCAGGTTAGATTATGGACGAACGTCAGCCTATCTTATATAATATTGTTATCATACTAACTCTGCCCTACTAACCTACTTTAACTACCATTTAGCGCATAGGTTTAAAAAATATACCATTTATTTCAGAAAATTTACAGTCCCATTTGTTAGTGAATTTTAACTTATTTTTACTGTTAGTGTAACTATGAAATCGAAATAGTGCAAAGGGCTGCGGTAGACAGGGCATCATACCCGATATGATCATCAATCTCCCAGGACGTAAAGTTCGGTGAAGAGAGCAGGGGACCTACCACAACCTCTTAGAACAATATTACTTTAACCTAACGTTGAGTTTTCGTACCATGACGCGCTTAAAGTAAGTTTGTTAACCATGATGTTTTATTGGCAGCTTTGTGACTATTCATTCACTCAGTTCGTACTATGACGCGACTTTGACATTGTTCTTATGTCAAATTTAGCAATCTTTATTTTTTTATTTAATAGTACATAGGAAATCATTTCTCGTTAAATAAAAATACGCGATGTTTATTTCGTAAAATTATGACAGCGACATCTATATGCTCCTTGGCGACACTAACAGTTGACACTGGACTATAGGACCGAATTCACAACGTGACTATCAAGACTCAGCTTGTTTAATTTTTTTCTTTTCATGAAAATGCGGAATAATTATTGAAAACAACGTAATTTTAATAGATTTTATTATTACATACTTTTCTTTTTTAACAGTCAAAATTCTCTGAATTTAAATAACATTAAGCACTTAAACATTACACTACGATAAGACGACTCGGAACATCAAAAAAGAAAGAGATAGCATTATATAGTTCACATAGCGTTATCTCTTTCCTATTTTTAGTAACGAATAGAGAATATTGGAAAATCATTCGTTCTTTCAATCACTTTAGCAATAAATAATACACTACCTAGTTGACAGGTTTGTCGTGTTACGAATATGAGTAATATTATAATAGGCTTGCTTTAAGCTTACATTGAAATAAGATTGTTTTTGAAAAGGTTATGGTAGGCCCCCGGATCATCGTCTAATCCATAACGTCTTCCCAAAGTGGTCCCTACCGCGCCCCCAGTGGGCGCTGAAGAGAGTCCTAGGGGGGCGGAAGGGCCCTCGGAAGCAACCAGAGAGGCGTTGATGCTGTCCAGGGGGGAGCAACGGCATTTGACAAAAAACCTGAATTATCTATATAAACTACACCACAAATATATTTCTTTTCCTTGTGATTTTTTGTGTTAAGTTAATATAAAAAAATACGTGTTTTCAATATTTTTTGTGATGGTTGGTGTTGAAATTGTTTTTATTTCATTCATATAATAAAACCGTTTATTATGTATTGTCATTTAAATAATCGCTGACTTTGTAATATGCTTTCCTGGTCAATAAATTAAAAACACACTTTTTAAAATTGGCAATGACATTTGTATCGAGGATGTGATTTGGCAGCTTATTGTACAATTTTGGCGCCATCGCACAAATATTTTCATGAAAAAGGGTACTCTTACAGGAAACCAGTTTCATTTTATTGTTCTTTGTATACGTTCCACTTTGCTGAAGAGTAAAGGATGTTTTTGTTTTGTTATTTTGCCTAAGTGGACGGTGAGCCAAAGTTTGGGAATCTATGTTCTAATCTATTTTGTACTGCCCTGAGAATTCTGTTCGAGTCAGTCACGATGCCGCTTTTTTCGCATCAGTGTATAGAAATCGAAATCTTTAAGGAGTAGATTCAGGTCATAGTTGGTCATTCCCAATGCGCGTTTCCCAGGAGTTGTGACCCTTCATCGGCTTCCAGGATCCAACACGACGTTTTCCTGCACCTCTATAGCAAGGGATATCGCTACTTAACGTTCACTAATGAACGTAAATTAGAAATTAAAGTCACAATTCCATGAGTTTAATTTTTAATTTATATCTCGATCTTAAATATAATGCACACACTCATAGCTCCGCACTAGGAAGATCCTGTATCTCAGGTGCCATGGACACACACATAGACAACCACAAAGTACACCCAAACTCCCGGAAGAAATTAAGGCCATACAAATATTTCTCCCGGCCTGGGGATCGATTTCGGGACCTCTGCGTGGTAGTCCAAAATGGTTCGGCCACGGAGGCAGTTAATCCAGTTAATATAATAAAAAAGTGCCGCCAGTCAAGCTATGCGGTGTGCCACTACGCAGGGTCTCGCATTTTAAGTACCTAGGGCACTGGGTGATGGAGAGTCTGTCTGACGACATGGACATTGACAGGGAGCGCAGGGCGTTGGCAGTAAGGTGCAACATGCTGGCCCGCAGGTTTGCACGTTGTACTAGAAACGTAAAGCTCGCGTTTTTTAAAGCATTTTGTCAACATTTTTACATGTGCACACAGAAAGCATATCGCGCCCTTTTTTTACGGGGGAAATCTTTATAGATACCCCTGAGTCTCCCTGTGCTCTATACTGGAGTATTATATTTTTTTTTTTTTGGAGTATTGTATTATATATTAACATAATTAAATTTTTATTAAATTGATATTCAATTATTTTTTGTGAAATTACTCCACTAGTTTGTTATAATTATTAATACAAACATCGAACACTCAGAAAAAACACTCAGAAAAAATTCCTTCGATCCGGTCGGATTCGAACCGACGTCTTCTTGCATACCGTGCCAGACGCTATACCAACTAAGCCACGGAACGAACCAACGGACCTCACGAATTTTTCTATGTGCTTGCGTCGTGTCTTTGTACTTGGTCTTTCAACGACTTTTTAGTCGTAGCGCCATCTATGAGAAATCTATAGATTTATATATAGATGTATAATCTATAGATCTTTGTATTAATAATTATATTAACATAGTTTATAAGTATTTTGTTACTAACACTATATGGATATTTTGTCCGAAACAAAGATTTGAATTTAAATAATATAACTACAACAAAAAATTTACCTCAGAAGTTGGTGGAATCACTAATACCTGTTGAGGTACCTTTTTTCTAACAAAAAAGGAATCACCAAAATCTATTCATAAATGCCGAAGTACAACATACATGCAATTAAAAACGACTCCTTTTTTTAAGTTGGTTAAAAATAAGCAGATCTCTATCAAGGCAACCGTTCTCCCACACTGGGTTACCGTGTTACCGCTCTACTGACCTAGTTGCTTCCTGAAAATTCCAGACGTTTTATTTAACGTACAGATTATTACAGCAAAACAAAATGTTTTATAGGCTTAAAAAACAGTGACATGTAATACTTTAAGTATATGAAAAAGAAACAATATAACTAATAAGGTAAAACTATTGTTTGAGTAACAGTCAAAGTATTTATCGAAGTAATAGACAGGCCAATTATCTATAAAAGCAGACGAATAACAGCTGCTTCAACAACCTATAATATTCAATTATTTGACTAAGCAGCAGCGCGTAGAGATATCAAAATAACGAAGCAGTTTCTCCATAGTATTAAAAGCTGTTTAGGATTTTGACTCAAGAGGGAAGAGTAATTTATTATATCAAAAATAAAGTCGATATTGCACCACAATACATTTATGATAAAGTAATTTATGTTAATGATCCATGAAAAATAGTGATATTGTAATATGTTTTACAACCATGATATATATAGTTTTTTGTGAAAATACTCCACTAGTTTATAGAAAGAGGCTAAAGATCGAAGACAAAGAAAAATAGCTGCGGTCAGTCTGGACTTGAACCAGTGCTTGTTGCCATGACGAGGCTGCAGCTCTTAACCAACTGAGCACAGCAATTGTGAATTTCTTTTGTTTGTGCACAGAACTATAATGAATTTCAAAAAAAGCATCGTATTTTTGTTAATTAAAATAGCAAATATGACGCTACTCAAATGCTCTACTGCCTCCTGATTGGTTAAAATATAAGCGGGACTTGGCCAATCATGAACACTGTATTATATTTCTTTGGTTTTTTGTTTTGTAGCGTTTGTTCGTCGTTCATTTGAGTTTGTTGTCATGGATTGTTAACAAAGTGTACTTTAAATATTGCTTGTATTTCTTATATTATTATTCTCGTTGAAAAAGTATTGTATGTAATCATTACATAATTACATCTTCAAATCTCGTACCTATTACTAAGACCATGAAGCTGATTTGAATATACATTGGGCGTTTAGCAATTTTTGCTGAGTTTGAGATGAGAGACAAAGCCCTCATTTATACAGCATTCTCCAGACTTTCATATTTTTTTCTACTAGATATCTCTTTTGATAATGTCAAAGTCAATACAAGCACAACGTCAGCGCCAAACAGCCTAGCCTAGCCTAGCCTATCCTTTCCCGTGATGATTTTCTAACGTATTTATCTCCGTTGTTCACAGATTACGCTATCTCCTTAGACAATTGAATCGTGGCGAAATATCCGCGGAGACTCTCCAAAAGAACCTTCAATACGCAGCAAAGGTCCTCGAGGCCGTCTACATAGATGAAACCAAGTATGTATAAGACGTTATGTTATTATTTTGGTTCTTCATGTTGGTAGAAGGCCTTACAAGGAATATTTATTTATTTGGTTTATTCATATTCGTTTGATGTTATCAAGATTGAATAAAGGGGGTTGAAAACATGGCAGTAATAATAGGAAATTCAACGTTAAATCAATACGCTTAGCGACGTTTCTTCTTTGCAAGTATATTAAATCGAATACGTAACACATGAAAAACAGCGACGTGGGATACCAGCTGCGCAAGACCGGACGTCTTTTTGTTGCAATTATAAAATGAAAGTACGTATTTTCACAAACCACATAATTCGCAGATTATTTTAAGCAAGAAAATTCAGTGGAAGTTTTTAAATCCATAATGCCATTGCAAAAAGCCAAGACAATAGCAGAAGAGCTCCTCCAGATTGGCGGGCGAAGCTTCAAGCTCGCTTTGTAGCCACTAAGAGTGTACCTTAGCCATAGCGAAAGTAAAAGGAGAGCTAGGTCCACATACATTTAGTAGAAGCATTATTTGTAGCAGTAGAGCTCCTTTTGAAAGAGTTTGTCCAAGGTAGTATTGCTACCTTACCTATTTCTGCCACCAAGCAGTAATGACAGTTTTGAGGGGTACAGTACTGGTGAAACTACAAGCACATGGGACTTGTCAACTTATGTCTCAGGGTGACGGGAGCAGTGGCAGTGCCCCTCAAATCTTTACGATTTAGAGCTCTGAATGGCATTGTAACTGTTATGCACAGGCGTGTAGCTCGCCATAAGGCGCACGACATATACGTCTCGTCACTTGGGTGTTATAAAAAAAAATAGATGAAGACGTGATGATTAATAAGCACGTCTCGTCGCTTGGAGAATTTTAATGGGAGTGACGACGGAACGAACCAACGTAAGAATAGTGGAAGGAAGAGGAATCCGAGAACTATTCAGAATTTTAAAAATAAGTGGCCAGGTATATTATATGATAATAAGGCCGTCTCTCGGGCAGACGTGTCACTCACCACCTTTGCCCGTCCCTCACTTTATAATCATGAAAAAGAAATGAATTTTCTATATAATGTTTAATTACAAAATTTCTGTTTGATTTGTCGTAGAAAACTTCAATCGGATTAACTGTACATAATTATTCTTGCTAAGAAATTAATTTCTGAGTCAAGTTCAAACTTCACTGATACAATATTTAATTAAATATTCCTTGTAAGCGAATTATGATGGCCTTTTCTTCATTACGGTAGTGTCGCGGCTTTCGTTTTTACGTAATTAATATAAAGTTGTAAGATCGTAGAATTTATTGTCCTATATGGTTTTATACTACGTTACACGAAACGGCAAAGTTTTATACCTATTGCTACCTCAATTAAGAAAGGGTTCCAATAAAGCCTTTAATGGACCAAGAAATTCATAATTTCTTAATGTTTCAGATGTCCGACCGCTAGTAAAAATATACGCAGATTTTTTTGTTAAAAATCTTTTTAGCCCTGAATCGTGGAAACCTTCTTTCACTAAGCTCTCTGTGAAAGCGTTAGCATTGATTTCGATTTTCTTGTTTCTTTTTCTTTGTAGATTTTCACTTTTTTGTGTTTCAATGTTGGAGCATTAATCGATTGAATATTATTAGTAACCATGGTATGTATATATTATAATGACTTCGAATCACTACAGACTCGCTTAATTTAACAAATTTAACCTACCAGTCGTTAAAGGCTTATGATAAGAAATTCGAAAAAAAAATTACAAATTATTTGCAGAAAAATTAGGAGGATAAGATTTGAGCTTCTAATTGAAAGGAGCCTTAATTAGAGTGAGCTCAGGTCAATTTAGCAGACAGGTACGAGGCACAGGAAATCTTGTTAGGAACAGCGACGAAAAGATTTAACGAAAAAGGCTAGAGTTTTTTTTTCGTATTACTAAAATACACCAAGACGGTTTTATGTGTTTTACTTTTATGTAAAAAAGACACGCGGCTACACACGCACCTGACGTGACCAACAATCGTATGTATTTGTCAAAAAAATTGGCATTCAGATTGTGCCTCCTTGAAGAGGTCCCTAAAAAAGGCTCAGAACAGACGACGTGGTTTGAAATGATTAATACGAATGAGGGCACCGAAAAAGTGTGTCAGTTTTGAAGAAAATACAACTGGACGTCATACGTATACAAGCCATCTCGCCGCTCTGTCAAGATTACGTCCAGTAGCGTCCAGAGCCCAGGTCCGTGCCGGCGTGCCCTCAGACCTGCTACTTAAATTTATAAACGAGTTAAGAGCCCTCATCTCCGAAACATTTTTCATAAAAAAACCCAAGATGTCCATTGGAAATCAGTCTGTCTTCCTTCAATTCCTTCATTCTTCTTAATAATTGTACGAGATTTTTAATGTGTTGTCCTTTAAACACGAATTCACGTAATAGATTGAGGAATTTTGATGGAAAAAAGTTATAAACATAACTCAATTTCGAATATCATGGAACGATGAAATATTTACATACTTGTTTAAATTGTCAAGATACGGTAATAGTTATTTGTTATGCAAGGCTGCAAAATTGTTGCTTGACGCGAGTGCCTGTATTCAATGAAACTTGAGCAAGCAAAAGTAGATTCCTGAGCGTAGCGAGGGTTTCAAGGCGCGAGACGCAAAACAACTTTTCTGCCAAGCGAAACACAACTTTTTAAAATGATAAAAATGGTAGACAAACATTGACTTACAATTATATGGACGTCGGGTCCGCGCTAAAAAGTGTCCGCAGTTGTAAGGCGCTAAAATCGTATACAGAGCGCCAAACTCCGCTTTAGTCTTCATTTGTTCGACTGACAGCGCGATACTGCGATGACATTACAATTTAAATTTCGAATAGGTTGACTTGCGACATTTTTTTCGTGGTTTTTGTATTAGACCCGTCGTCCATTTATTTGTAAGTCAATGTAGATAGAAGAAAAACATTTGAACATCAGTTTTTTTTTAATTACGAGAAAAAGATTATCTTCTGATGCGTTCTGAATTTACACCTCATCAATTTTTATTCTCGCTTGTACTTTTATTTTGTGTGATTATTGAAATTATTTTAGTTCTATCACGAATTAAAATAATTTAATAAACACAAGTAGTTAACATTGTCAATTTAATGTTAACCATAATAAGAATAAAATATACCAACGGATTTATATTACGTAAATAAGTAATGTACCTACGGCAAGTCGCGTAGTTGAACGTGTCTTTATCTTTTTTTTTTCATCGAAAGGAAAAGTTTGGTGACCACACCACAGTAGATCGTCAAGTTCGAATTTCAAAAACCTTTTCCACGCTAGCGTGCAATAAATGCTTTTGCGCGCAGATTTCTAATTAGGAAGAAAGCCTTTCCGAGCTAGTGAGGTGAAAAAGAGTTTTTTATTTTATGTAGAGAGTCCTAGACAGTACCTACTAGTTGCATTATAGCTACTATAGCTTGCATTTGTGACTCATCTATACTGCGACATAGGGTCTCTGTTGTTAAATAATGATATATATTGGATGTTATATATCATTACGGCCATCAGTGTTGTGCGGGATAATTTCGCACTCTCAGTATTTTTTAAGAACTGACAAAATATATTTAAAAAAGAATAATATGGCACAAATATGATGAGTTCTATTTGATATGAAAAACGACAAATAACACAAAACAAATATTTTTTTAATTTCCTCAGTTAAATATTGAGAATGCCATACTTCCTCCCTCGACTTAGTATGAATTTTATTAGATAGTAACAGAACATAGTGCCATATATTTAAGCTTAGTATAATGGTCATTATTGCGAATAGTGTGAAAGGGTTGTAACCCTAACAGCCGTGATCAGGATCACGGCAGTAACACAGGAAACTTCCGGTCCACAATTTTATTTAACGTGAAGTAAAAGGTAAAGTAAAAGAACTGTAACAAATAAAAGATAGCTGTAGAAAACAGTACATTAATAAAAAAAGACAATCCATAACTTAACCTAAAAAATGGTAGATGTTAGATTTAGGCACTCACCCCTTATCGGGTTTTATTATGTTGAATTACAGATATTGGATAGACTGTTATTCGCTCATTATGGTCGATACATGATTTACATTGATTGTATTATGATTAAACTTGAAAAGAATAAAAGATTAAACAATTTGATTTAGTAGTTTTGTCCGCTATCGGGATCAAGCAGAAAGTGACCGTAGTACGAAGCAAAAATGAGAAAGTGAAGGAAGATGGAATAATTCAAATTTAAAATTTAAATACAAGCAAAAGAAAAAATGATACGATACGAAAAGGTGAGATGACTCTGTAAGGAGGTCACACCCTCACAAGTGTAGCCAACATAAGCGTCTTGGTGTACTTTTTAGGATTTACCTTAATATATGTAGCAAATGTAATCCAACGTGACCAGAGCCGTAGCTTTGCTACGGTTTCTGCGGTGATTTGCCATTAATGTCCTTTGCCGCAAAAAATAAATCATCCTGAAGGTAGGCGTTGTAGTTTCCACAAAGGAGTAAGGATAAAAAACAACCTTTTCCTCATAAAGTAACTTGGAACAACCGTAAAGAACTTCATAAGGTACATAGATACCTTAAAAATGTATACCGTCCATATGAGGCGGTGCCGAGACTTTATGAAACTTTCCTAGCGCAGTTTCTCACTTGAACAAATAAAGAATTTTTATACGCCCAGTGGTGTGCTTTGGTTGCTTTTTAACCGACGTCAAAAAAAAGGAGGAGGTATTATAGATATAGAAAAAAATGGGGATATGGTATGGGGTCGTGGTTCGTATCGCCTCAAAATGACCTTATCGAGGTGACAAGCCTACAAACACCGCCACAGTGACATCGCCACAGTAACATTGTAATATAACTCTTATTCAAGTGACTGTAAGTTTAATTTTGTTAAATTTTAAAATTGAGTTACGTCGTTTTCACGTTTTAAACCGTACCCAATCAAAATCTTTAAGTTATGGTAGTAGATATTAGAGCGTAAAGTTTGAATTGCACACAAGCTA